AAAATTTAAACATGTCCGTAAAAAATAAAACACTTGCATTCACTAAAAGAATTTCTCTTCCGAAGGCACTGATGGAACTATGAGTTAGGAGAATTCATAATGAAATGCTATCTATTCAATAAGTTCAAAAAGCTATCAGAATCATAAATGCAGTGCCCATTTTAAACGACTGTTAGTAACCACAGTATCTAATTTGGTAACAGACCAAATATTATTCGAAGCTTCGGGCATATCAAAGTCCGATTTAGCTTTTTCTCGAGCAAAGCACAATGAGTTACTCGTAGCTTGAATATATTGAGCAGCTCGAACAACGAATATTTTCGAAAATTTGTACTGCCCGATTCAAATATTTGAGTTTATACTAATATATTCTTTTATACAGTTTTTTCATATTTTCCGAGACAACAGCTCTTAAGCTTAAGTTACAATTACAGTAACATCGCGTGTCTATTAGAAAGTGTTTGAATTCAGCATAAGAGTAATGCCAGTTCTATATGATTATTGATTTTTTAAAGTAGAGTTCACACACTACTTATCAAGTAATTTGAATACACATTCGTTCTCAGAAAGATAGAGAAGTCGTTGAAGTTACTGGAATCCAGAGAAAATAGATTTGTTTGCTAAAATGCCTTCCCTACCTGGAAGGGGACTTTAGTCTGGGTCAAGAAGATGATTGCCATGCGATAGTTCCATCCTCCGTCCTATATTAAGAACGCATTAACAAGAAATATGCTCCATCCTATATTAAGAACTTGTTAACAAAGAACAGTTTGACTGTCATTGGAAAGGTTGGGTGTCTTTTCTTAGATTACAATGACTAATGAAGCAAACACATTGGTCGCAATATTGTACTCCAGTAAATATCAGAATTCATATTATTTTACTATTTTAATCTATTTCGTCATTATATTATTTCGTTTCGAAAAAAAATTACCGAAAAAAACATTGAGAGTACTGAAACCATTATTTATTACTTGGAAATATAAATACTATAATAAGGTAACATGTTATGTTATACATTCTATTAAAGTTTCAAAAATTATTAATCGATAATTATAGGTAAGTTGATTCCTCTTAGCATTCTTCGATCTCTACAAAATGAATGAGATACTGTTATAAAATATTTTCATCAACTAAAGTGTATCTCTCAAGACTTTGAATAGACTTTACATATAATAAATGTAGGGTGTAAAATCGGTCGGATCATCTGGTTAAGTTTGTTATCGTTTTACACCAAACTTAGTAGACAACTTGCCTGGTATTTTGTATCTATAGGAAAATATTTATTTATTTTCAATAAGTTTTTTTTTGTTCTTTTTTTTAAACTTATTTTTTCAACTGATAAAAAAATTAAATTAATTTTTTTAAAGTTGTTTAGTTTTAAATCATATGCCGCATGCACAAGTACACTTGAGTTTCGATGTTTTTGTAGTAATCTGAGCATACGTTAGATCATCTAAAATGTTTATAATATCATTTCTCAATGGGCCACTTAATCAGTCCAGACTTTTTGAACTGTTCATAGAGTTTTATGGGCTCACATGAGTATGTAGTGGCACATTTTATGGTTTACACATTATGGTAAAAATGTCTATTTTGACTTATTTTTTATGTTAAATAATAAAAAAGTTATTAAAAAATATATGATTTAAGGTGCAAGTGTGTTATACCTACATATATAGAAAGCATGTGCCACTACATATTTTTACTACTTTTTTTTACTATTTTAAAATACTACATCCTACATAGAATTTGAACACTTTAAATTCATGTTTAAAAATTTAGTTTCATATAATAATTTATATAATTTTAAAAATAAAAATTTATAATTTAAAAACATTAGAATTTTAATTTTTAAAATAATTTATGCAGAAATTTGGTTTAAAAATTTCATAAAAAACAGTAATTGAAAATAAAAAATAATTACTCTATTAATAACTCAACAATAGACTTTATTATAGAAATGCATATATAGAAAAGATCATAACTATTTATTTTTTCAAATTATTTCAAAGAAAAGCACTGCTAGTTATGTGGACTTCAATTATTTCGAAACAATCCCTTTCTTCTTCATCCAATAAATTCAGTAGAGATCTTCAAACCGAGTTTTATTGCTTTTAAGGCACTGTGGGATGCTTTTGTCTTAAATATGTGTTAATAACTAAACTTTATATAGTATTGAAAAAACCTCTTGAGGCTCGAAAATTGGTTGGAATAAATCAATTCCGCTTTCAAAGCCATAAACAGGGAATAGTGATCTCTCTATTTTACTATTATGTATTAAAAATGTACTTGGAAATATATAGTTCACTTTTATGATAATAGAGATATTTTTTTTTATTAGAGAGAAATTAATAGCATTTCTAGTTTTAGGAATGTGAAGAAAAAAATAATTACAGTTAGCATTAATATCAAAAGTCCATATATGATACAAAAATGGGGTTTGAACAAAATTTTGGTTTGAAAGTCGTCTCTAATTATTACAAAATAAGAATCTTCAAAAACCTCTCGTTCAAATAAATAAAGTAAATACTTTATTTTTGATACGAGTATTTCGCCGAAAAATAATGGTTAGGCCCGATTTATAGTTAAAGCTTATATAGATATATGTAAAATAAAATATATAAAAATAAAATATATAAAAATAAAATAATTAGTATTTATTTTATTATTAAATTTAAATCGAATTATTTATTGCTTATTTACTACTTTATTAAAAATAAAAAAACTCTAGAGCTCTAGAGGACTCAGGTGGTTAAAATTTTCAGTTTATATTATGGTGAAAGTTTATATTATCTCTATAAAATTTTATAATAATTGAAACAAAAAATTTAGAAAAAGTCTTACATACCTATAGTTTTAACTTACTTCAAAACCTAAACTAATTATCTAAACTTAAGATTATGCGGCTAAAATTTATATGAATTATTTGAGGCTTATATGAAACGTAACTCTAATATATTTTTTAGTCCAATCTTTTAAAGATCATTTAGTGTAATAAAAGACTAGTGGAGGTATTAACATATGCAGGTGCGTGTGACAATTGCTCTCATCTTGATAGGAAATAGGAAGAATAAGTATACTACTCCAGTTACTATAAGTGGAGTGGACTTATTGCTATACTATATCTTCATTTTGTTGCCGTTTGCTGCTGTTAGGATCTACGGGAACTAATATATATATATATATAGCTTCACTTCAGAAACCAGTGATCAATTTGAATTCTCACTTGTTAATATAATAAAAATTAATAAATATTAATATAATAAAAATTATTTTAACATTGTGTAATTATTATAACACTTAAAAAACATTGGAGATTACCGGAAGTATAAGGTAATGCAAACAGATGCGGAAAGACGATCAAGTCCATGTTTTATATGTTTTATATTAGCATTTAGTTGTAGTTTTGGATTAGTTTTGTGATTAGTTTTGTGATTAGTTTTGTGATTAGTTTTGTATTGTTCAGCAATTTTATATTTCCAATTTTAAATTGTCAACTTTTTAGCATGTATCTGGGGTCAATTGTTTTAGATGAAGTACCACTACGATCTTGTGTAAACTGTCGTAGCACCGTATCCGGTGCTTTGAGGATACATATGAGTTCAATTTTAAATGAAATTAATAATATTTATTATGAAAGATTGCGGAAGGCTACATCTCTAACTTTCGAGAGGCATGTGCAAAATTTTATCCATACATGTGCTTAGGTAGTATATTCAAAGTATTTTTATATCATTGTAATTATAAAATGCATGTTATATTTGAATTGAATACTTTGTTATTTTGTCTATTCTGATAAGATAATACCAAGTTTTCATAATTATTGAAGTACAGTAAAGTACATGAACGTATGACACTACTTGAAACTTAAGCTTGTTCAATTAGCAATTTTACTATATTCAGTTCATTTTAATAATTTTTTTGAAATTATGTTTTTATAAGTACTTCAGTATTTAAATACGTCTGAACTACCAAATGTCGATCTTTTGTATATTCAGTTCATTTTCACTTACTTGTCTTGGGTTTTGTTTGTGTAGGGTCATTTCTCGGTTGATAAGGTTCTAAGGACATAAATATTTACTTATTCTAAATTTTTATATTTAACTTTATAGTCTAAAAGTTATCTGCTTTATTTTAATTGTTCATACTCTCTCAGCTTCTATCTCTGTTCATACGGAATCACTTGCTATTGACAATACCTGTATTGATCCAAAGAAGTTAACATATGTTCTTCTGGGTTATCATTTGATTTCTGATGACATATTCCAATTGACAGTTAGATCATCAAGAAGGTATTCAAATTTATTACCTTAAAGTAGTCATTTATGAACTATACATTTTTCACAATTCCATTGTATTTCATAGTCCCTAGAACGAAATCCAACAGTTGTAATGGTTTGTCAAGACGATCAAGCTATCATAAAATAATATTCTTAACACATATTTTTATTTAGAATTTAAGACGTTTATCACATTCTTATACAACAATATAATAATATGATTATTAGTATTCAAGGAATATAATATATTCAATTATACTATTAATCAAATAATTCTATTTTTTCTAAAATCATAACTATTTATTTATTCAATATTCTGTTAAGTACAGGTATATATATATAAGCAATATAAGTTTAAGGTGACTAATGTCATGATTGTTTCAGTAATCTATGGCAAACAATTCAATCAATACATTTAAATTACATCTGATTAATGACCGATAGTAATTAATGATAAAGGACGAAGTAAACTCCAAAAACATCTGTAAACAATTTAAAACTTTTTTTAATCAAAATAAAAAGATAAATATATAAAATTAACTAAATTTAATTTAAACTAATTATAAAACAAAATATTAAAAGCAATATCTAAAGATTATCTAGCTCTCACTTTTAATCTGCGCTAAGATTATTTTTTAATTTGGAATTATTTGCAAAACTTATCAGCAAAGAAATTTAATATAAAAACCTCTATTTTGTCTTTGAATCTTCAGTTTGAATAACTAGATTTCAAGCATTAAATCAATATGAAATTCGCCGTAGTTCTTATTGCTGCCTTGGCTTTGGTAGCCCCTGCTTTTGGCAGAACCATGGATCGTTGCTCCTTGGCTAAGGAAATGTATGCTTTAGGTGTACCAAAATCCGATTTGTCAAAATGGACTTGCATTGCTGAACATGAGAGCTCATACCGTACCGGTGTTGTTGGCCCAACTAACTCAAACGGTTCCAACGATTATGGTATCTTCCAAATCAACAACTACTACTGGTGCCAACCTGCCAATGGCCGTTTCTCTTACAACGAATGCAAATTGAGCTGCAACAATTTATTGACTGATGATATTAAGGATTCCGTCACCTGTGCCCGTAAAATCCAAGGACAACAAGGCTGGACTGCCTGGTCAACCTGGAAATACTGCAGTGGTAGTCTTCCATCAATTGACTCATGCTTCTAAGTTATTTTGAACTCAATACCGATTTGATATTTTAACCATAGTTACTGAATAAAGTTTCATTGTTTTTATAGGAAAATGTATGATATGTGGTTTTAATATTTTAATTTTGTTGTCAATAATATGAAAAATAATGAGCTTTGTGAATTATGTAGGCTTCCTTCTGGAAACACAAATTCCTTTTTTGTGATTCCTTATTATTTTTATTTGAAAAGGGGTAGTGCACTGCGACGTAAAAGACCTATTGTGTCCCTTAGTCGGATAAGATTGTTTCTCCAAATCCGATTTCTTTAATGAAAGACAGTATAGAGGTTATCTTTCCTAATCTTGAATCCTTGTGGTCGATGAAATATCCTTCTAGGTGTTTCTTCCGTTTGTGCATCAGTGCCAGGCACTCCCCAAGCACATGGTATGCGTTGTGATTTCTTAATTATTTAATGAATTATATTGTATATAAAAATTCTCGTTTGGAATGAAAAACTTTATCGCCGAGATTTGTTCAGTAAACATTTTTATGAATTACTATCGAAGATAAATACCAAAATACCATAAAATTCTTTATGTAGTATAAGGATTTTTGTTTCCTTAAACAAACGAATATATTTTTAAAAAAATATTTTTTAAAAAAAAACTGGACTCAAAGCTTTGATTTCATTGGAAGATTTGTTCGATTAAGGCTATGCAGAAAAACCAAACTAAATGTGTTATATAGGACGTCTAAAGTAACCTTACTTTTCGTACTAATTGCTTTCTTTAAGTACGAGTAGTCTAAAGCAGTAATGTGAATTTCTTAATTAAAACTTTTATTGGTCATTACACATATATAAATATTTTTTGTAATTATATTAACTAAGTATAGCAATCAGTTTTCGAATGATACATTGAATAAGCTGATTGTATTATTAATATATACCTATACTTTTAATTATAATTAAAATAATAAATACTATTTTAATTAAAACATACTTTTTATATAGCATATAATATACTACTAGAATTTAATTAAAAACAATCATTTACACTTGGTAGAGCACCATTGCAAAATCTCCAAACTGACCAGGCAGACCATCCTTGTTGGTTTTTAATTTTAGCAGCACATGTGATTGAGTTGCGTATATTATTGCCTAATAAAGCATTGCAATTTATATGACAGCCATTATAAGAAAAATTTCCATTATCAGGTTGGCACCAGTACAAGCTATTGATTTGAAAAATACCGTGATCCCTTGAGCCATCTCCATTTGGGGGACCAACAACACCGGTACGATAAGAGCTTTCCCTTTCAGCAATGCAAGTCCATCGTGGCAAGTCAGAATATGGTATCCCCATTGAGTATAATTCCCTAGCCAAAGAGCAACGATCCATAGTCCTGCCTAAGGCTGTCGCTGTTAAAGCTAGAGCCACAATAATGACAGATGCGACTCTCATGTTGACTTGTGTTCAAGTGGTTGAAGAATAATTATGATTTGCTTCTCATGTGAAAGATGCTTTATATACAATATGAAACTTTCAAAATGAATTGTTTTTATGAAAAATATAATTCATTTATTTTTGATAAGTGATGCTGAAATTTATAAATAGCTTAAGTAAATTCATCATTTGGGTTTTTTTTTAATCTCTATATTCAGATTTCGACTTGGTGGGAAAATTGTTCGATAATTCTACAATAATCGTATAAAGCGCACTAAGTGAAAACGTTTCTTGAACTTAAAATTGGTTCACTGATAATTATTTAAATTAAAAGATGACTACTCATCAAATTTATAATAGGAATATCAGATTATATATTTATGGCACCTATTAATTTAAATACATATTAAAAAAATTAGATCTGCTTTTCATTTAGTATTAGGATTAATTGTAAAAAATTTCTTGAATTTGATAGATGCCACATTTGTGACTTAAAAAATTGTTATCAGTCAGTGAGTAATATTAGAAAGTAAAAATGTAATTTAAATAAACGTTTCAAATTAATTAAAATCGTAAGTGTGATAAAGCTTGAATGTCAATCGAATGTCTGAAGTGGCTTTTATAATAGGAGCAAAAATATAATATATAATTAGCTGTTATGGTGTAATGCACTTAAGATATTAAAGTGAAATTCAAGTAATGCATTTTGAATTCACTATAAAACCAGCGAAAATCATTGGTATTTCATCAGTTATCTGTAAACACCTTAGAAAATCAAAGCAAAATGAAATTCGCTGTACTTCTTGTCGCTGCCTTGGCTTTGGTAGCTCCAGCTTTTGGCAGAACCATGGATCGTTGCTCCTTGGCTAAGGAAATGTATGCTTTGGGTGTACCAAAATCTGAATTGCCACAATGGACTTGCATTGCTGAACATGAGAGCTCATACCGTACCGGTGTTGTTGGCCCAACTAACTCAAACGGTTCCAATGATTATGGTATCTTCCAAATTAACAACTACTACTGGTGCCAACCTGCCAACGGTCGTTTCTCTTATAACGAATGCAAAATGAGTTGTAATGCGTTACTGACTGATAACATCAAGGACTCCGTAACTTGTGCCCGTAAAGTTAAGAGCCAACAAGGCTGGTCTGCTTGGTCCACATGGAAATATTGCAATGGGGCCCTGCCTAGCATTAATAGTTGTTTCTAAGATTTTTTTTCAATTATCCGATTTCTGATTTTGTTTTTTTAAGAAAATAAAATAAATTTGAAAAAACTAAAAATTTAGTTGTATATTTTTTTCTAAATAGAAGGCTATATGAAGTATACTTTTATATTCACATATATAAAAGTACTTATAAACTATGAAAGTATATGAAAGTACATTTTAAGATGCACGAAATAGGATCTCGATGATAAGCTTTGCTAACTCTTTAGAGAAAAAGAAGTTTTAAGCAATCAATTATATCATAATTTTAAAATTTGATTTTTTATCTATTAGTTTAAATTTTAAAATAATATAAAACAAAATCATATAATAAAATGAAGTAAATAAAATAAAATAATGATTTAAATAAGTAATCATAAAATATAAAATACTTAAGTAAGCTTGGCTAAGTTTGCCAAGTTACTGGATGTTAATTCATGGGATAATGTCAATATGGTAAGGTAAGGCTCGTATAGTTCGTGGTTTATTCGAATATGGTACTTGTCACCGACAAGAGCTCCATATCTCAAATGCCTACTAAATCAATTGGATATCAAGGTCTGATATTCAGGATAACTTCGATAAGTTTTAAATAAAGGATAGCATAGTTCGCGCTTTGTTGTTCTAGACTTTGTATGGAGTCATAACAATGCCGCTAATTGGTAAAATCTTTGTCAGCTATAAACTAAGACTTTATAAAAAATATGTTTTGAGCTTTAATCGTCAATTTTACGAAACTCACAAACATCAGTGTCGGAAAGATATAATTTAATTGAAAGAAGTTAAGAAGTCTTGCAACACACCATTTAATTTAAGTCTGAAGTCTGATTTCACCGTTTCTTTTGTATTTGAAGAGAAAATACAGTCAAAGAAGGCATTTAAAACATCGGCACAAGTAGTAGTCAGTAATACATGCTGGCTATGTCTAGGCATATGCTGCTTTGTAGTCTGGCGAACAAAAAATCCATGGCGTTAATTTGAGCACCATTTCACCATATCAAAGCATATGTTAGTAATTGGCTGATATGATAGACCCCTAAGAATATCAAGAAGCGATCTTAGGTGTTTTAAATGACGTAAAGAAAAACATTTCAGTCGCAAAATTCTAGTCTGTTGAAAGCCTAGAACTCTGTTACTCGTCATGCTTTTATTTTTACAGAAAGATGTATATAAAAAACTGTTAAAATTTTTTATTTTGTCTGACAATAGCACTGGAATCTATCCATCTTATCTTTCTATATTTCTTTATTAAAAAGGCAACAGTTTTAAGTGGAGATAGACTGCACTTAGTTATCAATAACTGCTTTTGACATAGAGGACAAATCGCACCAAATTTCAGTTTGGCAGAAAATTTGAAGTCCTTATACCCGATAGTATGGACTGAAAGGACTGGACTGCACCGACTGGAATGACAGATGTAATTTAGAAACAGAAGTAATCTCGCGATGGTTCCAAGACTAAAGAAGGCGATGGTGCAGAAGTGTTCGACTCTTATATCAGCATCTACATCGCAACCTTAGCTTACAGCGATCTATAAAATATCTAGATAGAGTACTCTGATAAAATTGTTAAAAAATATGATTTTTTTTTTAATATAAAGACAAATTTTAATAGAAAAATCATGATTTATGATATATATAATATATAATTAATATTTAACTCAATTAAACGTTCATAAACATATTGACACTTATTAAATTTAATTGTAAGTACATACCTACGTAACATTACGCTATTGCTCATTTATTTGAGTTTACATAATGAAACTTGATCACTATTAAAAATAATATATAAATTATTAATTATTCAATAGAAACATAGACACATGCATGAAAAACATAGAACAAAAATATTTAGAAAAAAAAAATTGCCTTTGCGCTAAGACTCGTGCTATTCAAGTTTAAGGCTATATCTTATCATCCACCAATGTATGATGTAAGCAAACCTTTTTAAATCAAGCACTTAACGAGATCGATTCTAAAAAAGGTGCTGTGATATTAGTTACAAAAACAATTATTACTTTATATTATATTATTTAATAATTTCTTTATCTCAGCATACCTATACTTATTATCGTATATTATTATTTTAAATTATATCAGATAGAATATATTTTTCAGCTGATATGGCACTTGAACTGAAAGCAATTTTTTAGTATAAAAAGCAACCTTATATGGCAAGAGTCAACAGTTTACTGTAGAAATCCAATACTTAGTACAACATGAAATTCGCTGTAGTTCTTATTGCCGCTTTGGCTTTGGTAGCCCCTGCTTTTGGCAGAACCATGGATCGTTGCTCCTTGGCTAAGGAAATGTATGCTTTAGGTGTACCAAAATCCGATTTGTCAAAATGGACTTGCATTGCTGAACATGAGAGCTCATACCGTACCGGTGTTGTTGGCCCAACTAACTCAAACGGTTCCAACGATTATGGTATCTTCCAAATCAACAACTACTACTGGTGCCAACCTGCCAACGGTCGTTTCTCTTACAACGAATGCAAATTGAGCTGCAACAATTTATTGACTGATAACATTAAGGATTCCGTTACCTGTGCCCGCAAAATTCAAGGACAACAAGGCTGGTCTGCTTGGTCTACCTGGAAATACTGCAGTGGTAGTCTTCCATCAATTGATTCCTGCTTTTAAATTATTAATTTAGTTTTTAAAAGTTTGCGAAAAAATGTTGCTGATACCAATTACGTTTAAATAAATATAATTTTTTATAAAATTTAATAATAGTTCTTGAAAATTGTTTTGAAAATTGTTGGCAAGTGTGGTATTAAAGTAAAAGCGTCGCTTTCAGATTAGCAATTTGAATGAAGAGAAAACATTGTTTCCAAATCAAAACCTATAATCTGCACATTTTCCAATGATTCTTTTGAGCAGGTGCCACACAATAAATACTCAATACATTTTATGTTTTGTAATGTCGGTAATTTGACATAAAACGACATCAAATTTACAAACCATAATTCCAACTATTAATTTCAACAGGCACCTTACCAATCGCAGTTTCCGTTAATGGTTGCATTGGAGCTGAAAATGAACTGCAATTCAACAAGTCAAACATTTTTGTGCAAGTCAGAAATGAAGTCTGTAGACATTTTTGTAGTCGTGGTCTAAATGCAGAGCCATGTCATAATCAAATGATCGTACGACAATTGTCGATCACAGTGCAATTAATTGAACGCCAATTGATTGCAGTGGAACCGTTGGAGCTGTCAAGGTGTTGCAATCTGCATGCATAGATTTGCTAGCTGCTAGTTAAACTGTGTTAATGGCCATGATATAGAGTTTCACTTTTCAAGCTCAAATTGGGACCCATTAAGAAATGCAGCACCGATACGCTGTGCTCAGTTTGCGCAATTAGCGAGTTAAATAAACTCCTAAAAGTTTGTATTTTAATTGTTATTTTAACAATTAAATTTTATTTGCAACAAATAGGGTTTTGAAGGCACCACATTTTAATTAAATAATTACTTTTTTTCATATCTTGAATGTTTAGAGAATTTCTTTGGTGAAAGGTAGTAATTAATTAGTTATAGATTTTAATTATATACGGGGTTGTAAGTAGGTTCCATAGTAGATTCTATTAGTTTGTTCTATTTCCTGAAAAAAGTAAACCAAAATTTAATGGAAGTGAAACTCAATACATAATCTGTTAGTTCATCAAAAAAAATAATTAGTTTCTTTATTGGTTAAAAGAATTTATATGGTATATAATTAGTATACATATCGTTCAACTTAACACCATATCGCAATCAACTCAACAAATGAGCAGTAATAATTTGAATTTTCCATAGAATATCAATACAAAATTCACATAAAATTTTGTAAGTTTTTATTGCAATATTTATAATTGTAAGTGTTAATATGGATTATTTATTAGAGGTTAGTCCTCTAAATGTTAGGGCTTAGATATTATTTCTGTCAAGTAAAGTTTATTTGCTACACGAATGTGGAATACAATTACTAGTTACTGTATCTTGCAAAACCAAAAATTTATAAAATAGAATAGAATAGAATAGAATAGTATTGAAATTTAATAATTGAAAATAAAATAGAATTAATTAATTTAATTATTCTACAGCTGGTTTATGATTGTGTTCTTATATAATACAACAAGTGGATTTGTTAATAAACTTTCACAGCAAATTAAAAAAACTCCAGAAAATCTACAAACATACAAGTCAAGTACAGCATTGGATTAGTTGGCTAATGAACAACGATAGGGCACAAGTTCAGCCCCTTGGTACTTGCAGTATCAAAAAATTATTTATTTATAATTCTAAGACCACTGATGATGGATATTTGGTAATACTCGAAACAGACGTATGGTCAGCCAACAAATCAATTAATTAAAATAAACTAAAAAGAATTTTTGTTGTTGTACTTCTCTACTATTCGACACCTCTCTACAAAATATTTTATATATAATATATGTATACTGAGACGATCAAACCATCAGAGAGAATTTTGTATTTTTAATAATTAAATAAGAAATAAATTAAATAAAATAAAAAGTATATAAATAAAAATTATATAAAATAAAAATAATTTTCTTACTTTCGTTTAAAAGTAATTAATTGGAGTAAATAGTTTTGGTAGGATATCTTGATCTGTGATATATTGAGTTGTGATTTTATAGTAAACCTATTATCATAATATCGAATTTTGATTCATTTTTATTTGGTTCTGGCTTTATAAATTCAGTCATATATTTCAAATAAATAAACTTATGATAATATCCTAAAAAACACTTATTATATGCTTTAAAATTAATACTTTAAAATTTATTTTTTAAATGCATTTTTGATTGTTGTTCATTTTGAATATAATTTCAAAAATTAATCAAAATTAAATATTAAAATCAGTTTATAAAAAAAGAATCTAATTAAAATAAAAATGATCTTAAAAAAAATTAAAATATGCAAATTTTAATCAAAGACATCTTTTTAAAATTATTTGAATGCAATCAAATATATATATCAAGTCCTCGATAGTATAGTGGTTAGTATCCCCGCCTGTCACGCGGGAGACCGGGGTTCAATTCCCCGTCGGGGAGGTTAGACATTTTTTTTGAGAAGTATTATTGTTTTTGTTGATTGATTTTCTGAATAAAATCTTGAAAGCTACTGTATATACTATATATCATCATATAGTTAATGCATTTGAAATTGTTTTGTCTATTTTCTGATAGAAATGAATATAATTTTTTTTGCTCTATAAAATAGTCATAAATCTGATAACAGGGTTACTGAGTCATCTCAAAGACATTTGAAATTATTTTATTTAAATTTTTCTGATATTATTTGTGAGGAAAGAACAGACTGCTTTTACCAAGATGTTTAAAATGCGACAAAATAGATATCCACATATAATATAACAATATTTTTGTTTTTATAGCGGGTAGTTGATTTATTTGTTTTAAAGAAGTTCTTGGAACAGAAATGCTTTTGGTTATTTAAATGAAGTATTCCTTTAAATAGGAGAAATATTAATTGATTTAAAAGTAATTTTTTTAAAATACTTTGGTGTCAGTACCGGTCTTATAAGAAACAGAACTATCAATTAAGATATTATGTTTATTTAATGTTTATTATTCTTAAAACGTTTAATAGGTGTTCAATGGGTTCACATTATGAAAGTCTAGCATGGTGACTCTACCATGGGAAAAGCTACAGCAGCACTGAGCAGACTTATGACAAACATAAGGGGACCCACACAGAGTAAAAGACAGCTCCTCATGGCTACGGTAAATTCCATTCTTTTATACGGAAGCGAAATATGGGCAGACGCACTACAGGCAAAATACCGAAGATTGGTTTAGTCCTTGCGAGTCGGACACTCACTTTCCGGGCCGCCGGAAAACCATTGTATCTAAAAAAAGTCCATTTTGAATAGAGGTTGGCTAGTACTTTTTAAGTATGACGAAAAGTTAACACAAACATATTCCTATTATTGAACATATGGATGTAAAAGATATATGCTTTCAAATGGATGATGCTACTTCTGGCTTTGTTGCGCTAAATATTTCAAAGACGTGTAACTCCGATTTAAATACCCACAAAAATTATATCATCATTGGAATGTTTTTTTTTGTGTGATGCAATGGATCGCATCTATGGATACAATAACTTAACGGACTAACATCTTTTTAGTTATGACTGAGCTGCTGACAGTTTTGTGCCGGCAAGACATCAAATTTTATCTGAAAAAGATCATATACTACAAGTTGTACGGCGGAGAGCAATTGAATAAGGTCTTTCACACCTAACGGCAAGGTCCAAATAATGTACTGAAATAAAAGTTGGATCAAAATTTCAAACACAGTTTATTTACGATTACTTTCGGAATGATAAAAGAGCTAACTATAAATTTATAATTATTTTTTCATTTTTAGAACTAGTATTATTGTTTTAAAATTATTTTCTTACTAGAAATTTATTCGATTTTTTATTATGAATAAAGTATAACATTCCATTACTTTATTGTTTTATATGAAAAATATTACTATTTTGTTGATCGAATGGTTCAAAATTAAATTTTTATTTAATGTAATTCAAATTTTATATTCCATTCTATATTAAATGTTAGAAATAAAAAATTAAATTAGTTACGTTAAAAGAATTTACCATTTCTACGGAAGATACACTTTTAATATGGATTAGAGAAGATTTTTCTTTCGAATTTTTCTCATGATGGTATTTCTTTACTTTTTTTGTATATTTATCTAAAGTATTCGCATACTCATACATATCTTCTATTAGACTTTTTTAATTGAATGAATAATAACTTTTTTAGGAGATGTAAGGAAAGCATAAAAAACTTTTATTGTTGCAAAAAAGCACTTTTCAATTATTCATGAAAGGCAAATTCTACTTTGGTAGATGAAAAATGACAGCTGTCACTTTCCGAATGATGAGTAACTCGGTGACATGTAAGAAAAAAAGACCATAAATGCACAATTTTGCAAACAAATGAATATAATTCGCAGATTTGCCAGTTACGACATTAAAAAGTTTAATTATTTAATTGTATTTTACTCATTTATTATTTAAATTGAAAAAAATAAAAAACTAAAGATAGTAAGCTTTGGTTTAAAATATATTCAAGTTGGAAATTTTGTACTTTCATTTAGTGAAAAGAGTTTAATATAAAAAAGTAAAAGAAATGTATAATGACTGAATAGAATTTTTCCAATTTAAAAAACATTTCAGTTTGTTAAACAAATTAAAAATTTATTTATTTTTGTTATAACATATATCATTTTTAGTACAAACTTAAAATGTTACCTACTCACACTCAATGGAAAATTAATTTTTATATATACGCGGATTATACATTTATCAATAGTATTATTGGATAGTTAAAATTCATCTGATAAAACGAAAAAAAATTCAAAGCTCAAAATATATGAGGGTGTTGGAAATACGATCACCTTTAATGGATATAATTTAAAACTTAATTTTTAGTTATAAAAATAATGTTGTATTAAAGAAACACTATTTTCAATTTTAAAGTAAGAGCTTTGTATTGCATCGCGGTTGCGAGATGTTTAAATACTATGATTCAAGATCACTGATGATAGAGCCGGAACCTTTTTGTGGACTTGGACTTAGTACGCTCCTTTCCCTCGTCAAAATAAAGGAGAACTAGAATAAAAAGGATTACTGGGATAATATACCAGGATTAAAACAGTCCAAAACACTTATTGGTACCTATAACAACAA